TGTACCTCGCAACTTAAACACTGTTGGGGCAGTTTGGCGACGGCCGTCTCAATCGCAAGGTACTCCCCTATAACTGTCCTTGTCAGTGCACTTGAACGGTGCAATAAACAGAGCGCGGAATGTTTAGCGCTCCCTCTGCGTTACTTACAGTCCAAACTATGCCTGTTCTTGTCTGTCACATTGCATTTACGCGCAACAGTTTGGAAAGGGCAATGACAAACTGCCCCAGGTTATTCAAGTTTTTTGAAATATCGGTGTGTACGGTGGATTTTAATTAAACTCGCTGTGCATTTTGCAAGCCACTCGTGCTTGCGAAACGTCAAGAAACAATACGACGGCCTAAAAACCCGAAAAACCCATTAGTTTCAATTTAGATTTGTCTGAGCATTTTGGGTGGCGTGCTTTGACTCCGATTCTTGGTAAATGTCCGTTTCAATTTACTTGTTAATGAGCCACTTAACATTGTTCTGAACATGTGCTATCAGCATGGCGTCGTAAAAGATAAATGCACTGTATGGTTAAATGAACCCTCAAGAATTTGCAATTTTCATCCACCGTGGCCTGGGTTACTCCGTGAATTTTTCGGAGTTGGCGCAGTGCTGCGCAAATGGCTTGGGGCGCCAACCCAACGCACCGGCGCCGTAACTCAGTTCAGTTGCTGGGAAAATGTTGATGACTTCTTTTTACTTTTTTTAGATCTATTTTAGAGGCCATTTATTAATAATGCTCGAGTTTTAGTAAAAGTTTCACTGAAAATGCTGAGAATCTGAATGTATTTTGCGTGAAAAAGCAAATTTCGAATCCTTCGTGATGATAACCCATTAACGGATGAGTTATAGCTCGTGAACTCAGAGAGCGGCAGCAACTCAATAGCGCAGCCCAACACGGTGTTACCCCAAGCTATCGTGTATATTTGGTTCATTGTATTATACCTAGATTTTCGAATTTAATTATGTATAGATCGAGTCTATCTATGGAAGTAGCTAGTTAAGTACCTGATGTGTTTGATAACCCTATTGTACATTATTCTGTAAATACCTAATGGGCACTGTTTTCTTGCAGCAGGGCGTACCGACGGGCGGTTACATTGTCCCCGCTGCTGCATATTATGAGCAGGGCGGCGGCCCCATTTTGGTGGCACAGGGACCAGCCGCTGCAGCCGCTGCTGCAATGCGGAACGGCCACGGCGCGCCCATGCGCCTGGTCAGTCCGGCGGCGCCCGTTCTGGTACCGCCTGGCGGAGCACCGGGGCGAACCGCCCAGAGCGCAGCAGCGGCCGCTGGCTTGTACGGAGCCGCCGCAGGCGCACAAAGTCTCTATGGGGCGGCAGCCGCTGCGGCTGCTGCAGGCGTCAGCACCTCCGTGAACGGAACCACACTCGGAGGTTAGTATTTATGGAAATTTTGTAGATTTGCTGCGCCTGAGTTAATTGAATTAAGCTGACCGAGCGCGTTTGAGTGTTGCGCTGCCGTTTTTAAATATTCAAATGTTTCTCTTCGCGATAAAAAGCCAAACAAAACATGGGCCGCTCTTCATAATCCCTCAGGCGTACATTTTTATGTTTTTCCAATAACGCTCCCGTGAAATATTCATATTCAAATGCAATTCAGTTCGATTTAATCCGGTCAGTTGTAACAAAACAGCGTGGCTGATGTTTCACAAAGTATAAGTTTATTTTCTTTGTTGGCCCACGCACTAGTTGGCGTTCGGAAATATCACAGGAGGCAGCTAACATTGTTTCAACGCAATGTTCTTTCTAAACAGGATGTTTTCTTGCGCCAAACTAAGCTGTTCATTGCGGTTACAGTAGATTAGAAGCCAATTGCTGGTCATCTTGGACCACTTTTGTCGTCCAAATCACCTAATCGGTTCGCATTATGGGGATAAAAATCGTTTAATCCCAACTCTTAACGATGCTGCAATGTAAATAATTGATTCGAAACGACAATTATTGGCTCTAAACATTGTGATTTTGGGTTCTATTGGTGTCGTAAATTAGACTTGTATTTCGACTTGTGTATAAAACTGTACGTTTTGTAAAGTGTTCAATGTTTGTACAAATAAGCCTGGCTTGATCCGGGTGATGAATGGTTCAATAATTTTCCCTACTTTGTCGTGAATTCGAATCGTGTTTGTGCTTGCCGCATATGTTGCGAATTGCCACTGCTAAACTGGTGTTGGACACACTAATATTTACATATATTGGAACAAACATGAATCAATCATCATTCATATGTAACAGTAACAATGCGTAAAATGTTCATTTCTCACGTTTCACCGCTAACCCAAACTAACCATTGCTGTGCAGGGGTGGCTCAGGGCGTGGCCGGTTCAGGACTGTTCCCTGGCCTTCCGCCTTCAGCTGCAACATTTGGAGGTTCTTCGCAATTGGGTGCAATTGGTTCATCCGCGCAACAGCAACAACAGGCCACGTCGCAACTCCATTCAGGTAAACCGCACTCGCTTAATTTGTTCGCTTGCTTTCATGATGGTTCATTGGTTGGGATTGTGCGTAACAATTGTTTAGTGTTGCTTTACTAACATGTAGCATAAGGGAACTGTGGAGGCTCGAATGTGCTTTAGGTAATAATTAGATTGTAGTTAGCAGGTGTGCTGTATGGTTTGGTAGAGGCATGCAGGTCGATAATTTATGTGACGACGTGAAATTGTATGAGCTGGAAAGAAATTTTGTTTGCCGTTTGAAACGTGGCAAATGCGCCATAGCGCCCTAGATAACTAAGGACCTTTTACGGACCTAAAGGCCAAGTGCGCTTTGGGGAATTGCCTGGGTTATATTTGGCGGTGTAAAACTTATGACACTTTGAGAACATTTTCATTTTTTTTATAAAGTCGACCCAACTGTGTTTTTATAAAGCGTTTGGAAGGAATAATATGGAAGGAATCGTCGGCTAAAGGTCGTAAACGTTCAAAAAACGCTTAAAATCCTTATTGTAACCTAGAGAATGCCTGCAACATTTTTGCGCCAACTGCGTTTGAATGAGCAAGTTTGAAATCGGTTTTATCGCACGATTTAATTTCATTCTCAAAGCCACAAACGGATCGTCACCGAAACAAAGTTCGCTTTCGGAAACTAGTTTAGCTTGCGCGAAATATTTTATCGCCACTTGCCACATTGTTTTACTGCCAATTTTGGCCGCTCTTTTACGGTCTGCGACTTTATCACCGTTCATACAAGGGCGATCCAAGGGGGGGGGNCATTCAATTCTCTATCCAACGATGCCAAAACGAATTATCTGCCTCGAATGGTTCTTGAGAAACTTCGAAAAAAGCAGCGTCATGTTCAAGTGGATTTTGCAACTCAAAAAAAAACACGCAAATTGAAAACTTCTTAAATTCAAGCATTTTTTGAGAAAACTGCCAACATTTCCCAACCATGGTTCACTTTCTAAAAAGGTCATTAAGTAAAAGGTATTTGCTGCAGAACGCACGTTGCACAACTTACCAGCGTATGATACACATTTAGTTTGTTTTTTGTTGCTTTTGTAAGGTCTTTTGCTTAGACGCGTTTCTTTTATTTCAGGCTTGGGCTTGAATACCGCAACCACAGGCAGAAGAGACTCCTTTGACAGAAACACGTCGGCCTTTTCGCCTTCATTGGATTATCGGCAGAAATGGACGTCGTACAATATTGGCAGCAGCCCGAGTCCATTAGCGGGCAGTCTTACGCCACCTCCAGCCCCTTTGCAATTAGGGGGTCTGGTGAATTCACGAGTACGTACACCCTGAGTGGTTTCACACCCCTATTATATATATGATATACATATAATTTAATAATAAATAAATCAAGGAGAGGCTGCTGTTTATGCACAAAGTTTGCCCCAGAATCATAACATTTACAGTTCAAATTGCGATGTTTTTCTTTGCAAACTCTCGAAAATAATGTTTGTCTTCATTCACCAGTGAAGTTATCTAATCTTTTTGGTTTTTCTCAAAGTTGACCACTTTCCAGGTGTTGTCTGCCGCACCTGGAGCGGAAGCAAAATATCGAAATTCTGTCGCTGCCGGACTGAACGCAACCACAATGTTCGGCTCTACCAACTCGTTGTTCGCGAAGATGAATTCATCGTTAACCGCTGTTCCTGCTGCTATGGATAAGACGCCTCAAGGCAGGTCGCGCCTGTTGGAAGATTTCCGAAACAATCGCTACCCCAATCTTCAACTAAGGTAGTTTTCCGCAGTTTTTTCACCGAATCGTTTGGATCAACATGTGTGATTTTTTCAGGGATCTAGCGAATCACATAGTCGAGTTCTCGCAAGATCAGCATGGATCGCGATTTATACAACAAAAGCTGGAACGCGCCTCAGCCCCGGAGAAGCAGATGGTTTTCAATGAAATCCTCTCAGCCGCCTACAACCTGATGACCGACGTTTTCGGAAATTACGTTATTCAGAAGTTTTTCGAGTTCGGCTCGAGTGATCAGAAAACCACGTTGGCGCAAAAAGTAAGTACCAAACCCCATACGGATTCTGGACAGTCTTTCTTCTGACGCTCAGTTGTTGAAGAATTGCATAAACTAAAGTCGCAAGTGAAAGCGAATTACGCTTTTTATTGTCTTGAGTCACATACGAAGTGGCGGATCTTCATTGCAAATGTTCGCATTTATATACCCGGTCGCTTTTAACCTAGAGTACCTAGAATTAAACGATTGATACAGAAATTATAAGGTTATTTCTTGATTACTTTATAAAATAAAATTTCAATTTAATCCACAAATCGATAGAATTATCTTGCTTATAAATTCTGTTTATCTTTCTTTCACCATTCCTTTGGTGCAAAATTTTAAATGCCAAATTGCGAATTGCAGCAAAAACAATTTTAACAATTCGATATCTTCAAAACGGTTAAATTCAAGC